GGGAAAGGGCCAATTAAGGATCAGTGTTTTAAAGCTCGGAGGCCCGCCAAATGGCCATGTCTAATTGGGGTGTGCTTAGACGTGGCCAAATCCCGATTTCATACTGGTTTCGGGTCGAAATCGCCAGTTTTGGATCGAAATCGACGGTTCCGAGCCGGGGTTTGGAGGGCCTTGAACATGCTCGAACTTATGCACGTGTCGCTTCAGTAAACCGTCGGTTCTGAACCAGCTCGATTCAATAAAAAACAATAAAAAATATATAAAAAAAAGTCGACTTGTCGGTTATTGGTGTGTTTGGATATAAATCAAGTGTAGTTTTTATTGGTTTTTATTTAACTAGGGTTAATTTTAAAAAAAAAAGTTGGTTGAGTTAACTTTGAGTGAAATTTGAGTTTGTATTAAAATAAAATTTTAAAAAATATAATAATTAAGGTTAATTTGATGTAAAAGTATGAGAGATGTATTGGAAGTGATGAGTAGTTAAAATTATGTGAGTGGATAAATATTGATTTAAAGTTGATGTGACGTATGATGATAATTGGCTAATATTTTTTAATTAACTTAATAATATTGATGAGTATTGAGTTGAATTAAATTCAAATTGTTAGTGTAATTGTCCCAATCAAAATTTATATCCAAACACCACCTTAGGGTATGTTTGGCATCGGTGGAATTGAATAGACCTATTGACATCCGAGCTGAGCGGGGAGAATGTAGAGCCAACTAATGCAATTTAATAGACGATATCGCTAAGTATGGAACTCGGGTCGGAGAACTGCGAGGGAACGATTATTCCCAGGAATAAAAATGCGGTACAGAGCGTGATCTGAAAGAGGTCCAATCTGAAGGGACAATTGGTCGGGGGATCGACCAACTGAGGAATAAACATCACTAGGTTGGACGATCTATGTGAACTAGCGTAGGTTGGACCCTACAGTGGTCTTGGAAGAAGAATCAACCAGGCGAATAGCACACTGTAACATACACGAGAACATGTGCTCGGGTAGACAAATAAGAAACCTGGGCAGGATATTACTAGTCAGAATAGCCGAGTTCAAGACCTGGCTAAATCGAGCACGATCCCTGCATAAAGACCAGAGCCGAGCACACTCAGGCGGCAGAAAAAACTTAGAATAATTGCAACTTGCATCAACATCATTAATGACGGGACAAACCAGACAAAAATCTGTCCGCCTACACCGAAAAGCTTCACAGGGTCATGTGCAGCATTTAATGTTTGTCTTTTCATTTAATGCACAATTATACTGCCCGAGGAACAGTAGTCGGGCCATCTTACTATAAATAATCCTAGGAATTCATTGTAAAGGGGGTTCAGAAAATTCCTGCAACTAAGACATCTTCGCACATTAAATATTGTAATTAAGACGAGCACCCGAGCTCAAGTAATAGAAAGTCCGACCTCATACTTATCCATTTTTACGCATCTTTATTGCTAAATATTGAATTTTAATAACTTAATCATTGGATACCGGAACTAAATCAGTACTTTGGGTTGATCAGATTTTGTAATCAACAAGACGTTTGGACTTTGGCATTTTCTTTCTCCCTTGTGGCAAATAACCTTTTGTTTATGCACCGAACCAGACCAAAGTGGACTCCGAAAGAACATAATTTTGATGGGTTGTCATTATTTTTTAGACCGTTTAAATTAGCATTGATATCAATTTCATATATTTTTGTTTTGGACTGGACCATTTGTGTCGATATGGTTGTATTGATACAAGATAATAATCAACAAGACAAGATGAACCGAAATAAATAAATAAAGTTATTTCATAAATTAATTTGAGTACTCACAAATTCTAGAATCCCAAAGAGTTTTAGCTCCTAAACATATTCTTAAATCTCAAAATAAATAGATATATGAGTTCAATGAAAAAGTAAAAAGGTAAAATGAAGAATAACTATTGTCGCCTTATAACTTTCGATCTTCAATCTTTACTCTTATGGTTTCCATGTGCGTCTTATGTTTTTTCTCACCCTCCTAAACTGTCAAAAAGTACTTCAAAATCGAATTCTTCAGGTCACTTCCCGTTGAAAAAGATAAGAAATCGCATGAAATATCTATTCCTCATTGGACAGGACTCTTCGTCAAACGAGTGGTGTGACTTAGGGCCACAACCACATGAGTCGTGTGGCCTATTTTTCCTAAAATATCACCAGTTGTCCGTCTCACACTACTCAGTGTGACTAAGTACGCAACCCACACGAGTCACGTGAAAATACAGTAACTAAGAGTTTTGTTCTATCATATCTACACGATTCGCCTGGCTATTAGACCACCTCACACGAGTCGTGTGGCTCCTAATTTGCACACTAAATTCGTCGTTTTTCATCTTGATTATATTTTTAACATTTCGGGCATATTCCTGTAAAAACTAGCAACAAAAAAACATATCTATCATAAATTAATAAATCAAACAATTCCACGATAAGACCAAGCATATCAATATTATATATCACTAAAAAAAACCGTAAATTCAAGTCAATTCTACACATGATTTTAATATTAATAAAATATCTTATAATAACCAAAATGCATAAATGCAGCCACCAAAGGCAGTTTTGATCTTTTGATACAACTACACTCGGCTCTACTCCAAAAAAAATCAATTATAATCGCCTGATACAAAATATGAAACACATGCTTTTTATTGCTTATGGTATATGATACATTTTAGAGGGCTTCAAAGCCCGAGTGACATTGAAATAGTTCAATGTCCGAAACCACTTTTCCGGTGTCTTCAACAGATGAACCGCTACCGTATCCGGCCACAACTCGTGCGTGCACCTCGTCGGCGGCTCGGGATAGTTGTACATCGACCATTTCGCGTTGTACCTATTCTTTCCACGGTGACCCTCTCGGAGCCAATCCCCGAATATCTTATCCTCCGGCCCTTCTAGATGCTTCTTGGGGATGTCCGATTCCCTTAGCCACTCGACAATATCCCACGACACTAAGTAGCCCATGCCCGACATGTAATGCACGAACGGGTCCATACTAGGGCACGGTATGACATAGCCATAGTACAAATCTTCTCTAGGCAACGACCTCAACGAGTCGACTAGACTTTGCAATCTAAAGTACACATCATCGTCACCTTTCATTACATAATGATAAGGTGGATACGGAACTCCCGTGTCATTATTCAGCAGCATGTCTGGCAGACTCGAGAAATACGTGTAGGTTTTACCTTTGTTCATGTTCTCTTTGCAATCGAGGATGATTATGTCGTCGTAACGCATGATTTCGAGTGCCACCAAGACTTTTTGGTCTTCCTTGGTGAGATTGCAAAACACGAATTTGACGTCGACCCGTGCCCCGACTATGGATTGCGTCCCGTAGATGAGTCGGAGGAAGTGCCTCTTTTGGTACTGATCGGGAACTGTCAGGATCCCGATCAGTACCCTCATGTCGTCGTCGCTCGATAATGAGGATGTCAATGGAAATGTCGTGTTTTTTTCGAGAATTTCCGGTGATGGTTGACCGGAAAAAGCACATTGGCTAAACTTTAGGACACTATCGAAACGTATTTCGTTCATCGAGGCTAGAATGCAGAGGAAAACGATGAGGAAGAAGCAAGAGACGATGAACCGATGGCCGTCGAGCGCTCGATTGGTTTTTGACATTATGGTAACATGCATGAATATGATGATGAAGATAAGGAAAATGTGCTAAGGAGAAGAGAAAGAGAGGTTGATGGTGAATGTGAGCATAGTCATGATAAATGTGAAGTGTTTGTTTCCTTGTATTTAAAGATATTTGGCTGACAAAATCATGTGATTGAGTCGAGGAGATTGACTTTTGAGCCTTAGGGAAGGAATAAAGTGGTAGGTTGACACTAGAGACCATTTTACATGGCAGAATTATAGGTAAACTTTGGCCAGCCCTCGTTCAATTAATTAGGTTGATTTGCATACACATGGTGGATTTTATAAAAAAACTTCTCCTCCTCACTAAACATTTTTTTGAGTACGAAGTTATTGACCACCAAATAGGAGTAGAAAATGGAAATTCGTTTCTGTGATCCAAGAAATGATGTGATTAGTCATTAATTAAAAGTTTTTATTAAAAATTGCAAATACTCGATATCTTTTTATTTATAATGACATTGGTTATACCAATAAGATTATTTGCTCGTTATATTGTCTAATATTTTTTCTAATTTATATCATATAATAGACTTGATAAATAAATTTAAGTAATAATTAGTAATTTTATTATTTTCTAATTATGATATATTCAATAATTTAATTTCTGTTTATAAAAGTAGATATAACTTTTTCTATATGCAATATGAATATCATATCGAATATTTTTAACAGATGATTAATTTGATATATTATATATAAAAAAAATCGATGACAAATAAAGAAGTTATTAATATTTAATTTAAATTGATAAAGTTTTTATAATTTTAAAAGTCTTATAAGCATGGATGAAATTCTAAATCTATATCGACTCTACGAAACTTGAAAGTTTAACACATAAGATTACATGGTACCAGAAATCAACATATATGATTACAAAACACTAGATGCAATTAGAAATCGTCACATATGATTACGAAACACCAAAAATTTATACGTAGGCTCAAAACGATGCATTTATATACAAGATGAATGTTTTGTTTTGGGTTAACTATAAAATGGTTACTAGGATTTTTTTTTCAATAATTAATTTCTCGAATTGTTCAATATCAATTTGAATCGGCCTATTCATGTACCTCGAATGTTGGATCTGGAATTCATTCGGCTTTAACGAACTAAATGGGCTTAAAGTTACTTGATACCGTTTATCTTATCAGCCCAATAGATTTACATACGATCGTACGCATCTAATTTTTTTTCTCCACTTCTTCTGATTAATAGTTCAATTTGGTGCTCTTATTTAAGTTCACCTAAAATTTGATTTTCTCTGCGGTGTTATTCTGCAAGTATTCTATTGATGTTTATATAAAAGCCTTTGGATTACAACTCTTAAACTAAACGAACTGGTCATTAGCTCAACTCGATCTATTTAAGTTTGATAAATAATGAGTTTTACACAATTTTCTAAACATTGAACATGACTCGGTTCGTTAATGCTTGTTAATGAGTCGAGGCCGAACTCAACTAACTCTACTTGTGACGCTCTTCATAGTAGAGAATATAATACTGTGCCAATAAATAAATTTCCTTCTGTATTTTTTTTTTTCGTTTATTTATGGTGGTTTGAGTTAATGACCAAGAGTAGTTTGGGCCATCTTGCATCGCATAGGGCCTGCGCTAATTTGAAATTGGGTTTTACAAGTTTGTTATAGGCTTTAAAGATGTTTTTAGATTGAAAATGACTAATGAGAGACGTATCTAGAGTACAACTACAGACGAGTCGACTTGCTCAGGAGCATTTGAGTCAAAACTCGCTCAAACTTAAGCACATCAAAATCGGGTCAAATTCGAGCTTGTAAGTATGAGCTCGAGTGCTAGATAAGCCGCTCAAGTATAAGTGCCTTAAGTCAAACTCGAGAAAAAATCTTATTTAAATATTTTTTCTATTGAAAATGCTAGCTAAACTGGAGCAAAACCTACGTTGATGAAATTCAAGTGGACCTTAAATCGATATCAAGCATTTGTATACTCTTGTCAAGTCGAGCCTTAAAATGTCAAACTCGAGTAGTAGTGAAAAAAAATCGACCTTATCTCGATAAGACCAATGCTCATCTCGTCAGTCGTCTCGGCTCGGTCTTTTGCTGCCCTAAGTAAGGTCGCAATTGGTCATTAAATAAAGCTTTTATCTCATCAGTGATGAATTTTTTAAGAAAATTATACTATTTATCAAGAAAAATGTTATAGGTACATAATATTGTACATAGTGGTGTACATAACACTCACATTGAGTAGAACCTACGAAAAACAAAAAATCAAGTGGACCTCACTCCATGTGAGTGTTATGAATATCTCTATGTACATTTATTATATACTTATAGCATTTTTCATTTACCAATATCAAGAAATGTTTTAATATTGCAAGATGAAAACTAATATCGACCCGAAGAGAAAATTTTAAGCACCAGAAGCATAGAAATTATTTTTCTTAATTTATTTGTTTAGAAAAAAACTAACATGAGTGCGTGTTATATCTTCATGTAGTTAAACAAATTATGGTGAAGCATTTACTTTTATCAATTGATATAAGGTTACTCAAATATGAACACAAAGATGCAGATTAAAATGATTCGCACTCGCTATTACTATTATGATTTTTTTTCTTATTATTATTTTTTTAATATTTTTGAGCTAATTAATTGTTCATTATCACTCGAAATTAAAAATTATATTATTTATTACATTTTATGCAATCAATATAGTAATTTATATACAATCAAATCGTTATGTACTATTTATTTTAACTAGTGATCAAATTTTAAAACATAATACTATTATCTAGGCAAAATTTTAAAATTTGTCCTATAACTTGGCCACAGTCCAAAAACCACCTAGATATTGACCACTTTCAATTTAGATCCTATAATTTGTCGATTTCATCATTTCTGGTCTTTTTTTTTTATCCCACCCTCAGATAAAATTTTGACGTGGCGTGACATGGCACCCAGTCAGATCCATTTACGGTTACTTTACGTGCTTCACTGCCAAGTAGACACGTACAACTAGATAAAAGTGTAAAAAATAAAAAATAAAAATAAAAATAAAATAATAATAAAAATTTGGAAATAACACCTAAGCTTTTTTCCATGTCATTTTAATTTTATAATTGTATTTTCATAGGATTCTTGAAATTCCTATTTTTTTCCTCAAGCCCTAATTAAATTTATGAAAATTGCCCTTTAAATTAATCCTTCATGCCTCTGTAAGGGCCGATTCAACCTTCAAATCTTAAAACCTCTGTTAAGCCCTTTTATTTATGCAAATGCTCAAATTTATTCAAATCTTCAACCCCAATAATAAAGGGTCGGCGACGGAACAAGGGCTGGCGGCAGATGCAAGAACTGACGGCCGACGCAAAGGCCTGCGGGAAGCTGAGCATCGAGGCGAGACGGGCCCGACTCCCCTGGCGAGTCCAGCAACAGATTCGAGCTGAGTTTGGCTTCCGAGTCGAACTTCGGGTCAATTTCCGTGTTCAGGCCGTGGTCCCACCTCATGTACCGGGGGTTCGTGACGTCGTCGACGGTGGCTAGGAAAGGAGGGCCGGAGGTGGAGTTTGGGGAGGGGGGAACGTGACCTATGCAGAGGATGCTTAATAGGTCGAAAAATGCACGCGTTTTATATAGTTAATAGCGTATTCTAATATGTTTAATTTATTCGCAAATTTGTGTTTTTCGACCTATTTATTATTTGGATTGATTTATTTGCTTTGATGTTTTATGAATTTATTTTCAGTATTTTGGACCAATTTGTGTACTCGAAGCATTGAACCGAAGTTCACGTGATCTGAGTGTCGAGCGCCTAATACCCATCAATTGAGGCCCAAGAATGGATATATTATGTAACGGCCTAACATGCAATGGTGTTACGTGAATGTTGGCTGACTTGTATAAATGTTAATGGGTTCATGGCCCATTAATCCAATTGGGCTGCACCTAAGGAGTATGTGTTTAAGCCACCAATCACATTGAAGATTACTCACGCAGCAACATGAGGAGGATTTATTTGATAGGAGTGACATTGGTTGGGGGTTATTAATTTATTGGAGAGAGTTCTAAGGTTTAGAGGGACTTTGGACTTATTTCCTAGAGAACACGCAAGCCCATCAAGGGGGAAAAGGGAGTCTTGGATTTATTTGCGGGGCAGCCTTTTTATTCTGAAGGAAATAAACAAGCAAGCTGGAGGATTATTATTTTAAAGGAGTTTGATTAGACAAGGACACTTGATATTATTTGAAGAGAATTATTTTACGAGAAAAGGACGACTGATACAGGAGGGCAGACTTATTTTACGCCTGGGCAGAGAAGAAAAACTCACGTACGGACTTGGAAGAAGGCTACACACGTGGAGGGAACCCACACCCGCACACGAGTGAGATATTTATTCTCTCTTTTATCTTTTATTTATTTTTATTAATATGTTAGGTTAGTATTTTTATCCAGTTTGAGAGGATGTTTGAACCCTAATTTTGATTTGTCTATGAATTGGATGATCTTTATTTATTGTTGATTAATCTAGACGGTATTTATTTTGGTGATGAGTTGATTCATGCTATCTGTGTTTAACGTTTATGAATTATGGTGTTTGATTTAGTTTGGTCAGCTAGGTTGAATATTCATAGCTTAATTGCTAGATTCGAGACTTTAATCCGTAATTGTTATTGTCTCGTTTCGTTAGTAGTAAACTAGGGGTCGTGCATCTCTAGAATAGCCTGAACATAAAGTTAAATGGTCCGAACTTTTGCGTCCATTGCTTAGACTGATCTATTTTCTAGAAATTAATGCTGC